AAATAGCGTTTTATCCTTCAAAACTGTGCTTTGTCGTATCGCTTAAAGCCAACACAAATGTTTACAATGTGACCACAATTCCAGCCCCCGGGAAAGAAGGTGGGCGGCGAGCGCGCTCACCGCAATAAAAGCACAACCAAGGTGTGGGGAAGGGGGAGCGGTTGACGCAGTGGACCCCGAGCTTATGTTAATACTAGAAGGAGAGAATGGGAAAATTAAGGTGGCGATGGAGAACATGGTGAAATATTAAACGCAGGAAGCAGAAGTACCCTCAAAACCCGCAGTGAACTTAAAACGCCCAAAAAAGGTTCGCACGAAAATTTGAGAAGGTAGGCGGAGCATAGGCTGAAGCTAGACACGTTAATGGAGATACATATTGAGTTAGTGGTTCAATGAGAGTCGCCAATAACGCTTATGTCCCGTAAACCCCACACCGACATCGTTTTTCTCACCATGAACAATTTATAGTAGAGAAGTTAATAGAGAGTAAATGCAAAGATAGACAAAACGTATGCCCACCCGTTCAGTAATATACAAGTTGGTCAGCGCGGAATAATACGTTTTCAGACACACGTTTATGTTTTTTGACTGTTTTAATCACTAACAAATTATTATTGAACTGAACAATATTCAAAACTCCAAAAACAGAAAGACCGCACTGTGTCTACGAGGTACCGTATTTCCTAAGAAAAATGAAATGTCTTTCTAGGCCACCAGGAGGTGGAAAGATCTCAGTCCAAGTGGCCATTAACGGTGGTGGACGGCGAGGGCGCAGGCCTTGGTATCAAGCGGAGTCTTTGAGACGGGGCAGAAATACGAAATGCGCTGGTTTATACTACTTACAACAAGAGTGAAGAATAATGAAGTAGAATGCAGGGAATAGCATGGAATTAGAAATGCAAGTAAAAGAGGTACCCCTTACCCCCGCAGATAATTCAAAACTTTCAAAACCCTACCATCAATGATAAGTTGCATGTAAAGTATTAAAACCTCGAAAACAAAAGTTAAAAAGTTCACAGCCATCACTAATTTCGCCCAAAGTGACTACAGTGACCGTTTTGTCGAAAATGTCCACACTTCGCCGTTAGTCGTAAAGGACTTGGGGCAGCGACATAAAGTGGAGCGCCCCAGCACGTGTAGGGATTAATAGGGAAGCGTGCTTGGATTAATAAGAAAGATGAATATATAGTGAAATTAGAAATGCAAGTAATGAAATCACAATTTAAACTCTCAGATAACTGAAATCTGAATCCCCCTCCATACATACCCCCTCCTTACATACTACGTGACAAAAATAACATAACCGATAAAAAGTGCACTCTAATGTATTTTCGGCAAACACAGGTTTTATACAAAGTGACCACAGTGACCTCATCGTGGGCACTTTGGTCACCGCAAAGGATCCACAATTCGTCGCTCCTCGTAAGGGAGGTGGAAGTGGAGCCTGCTAACGCGGATGGGGAGGTGCGAAGCGGCCTGCGCGGCGGCGCGCGGGCTTATGCTAATGCCCCGGCTTCGCGGCGGCGGCGGCGCCGGCACAACCCTCGCAGCGGCCGGCGCGTGTGCGCGTGCGCGGCGGCGCGCGTCATTGAGGGGGCCGCGTGGGCGGGGGGGAGGAGAGGGGGGCACCGCCTTTTGTTCGGGTGATCCGCGGCGAAAGCGGCCGCTCCGCGCCTTCCGTCGCACGGCCATATAAATTGGTGATTAGCATTAATTTCGCGATGTGGCGCGGATTGAGCGCTGCTCGCGACACAACAATTAATTCCCCACAATGCGCCTTCCCCCCCGCCCCAACGGCTCCCCGGGAGGTGGGAATGGCTAGCGCTGTGTAGCCCCGGGTTTGGAATGCCGGATGTCGATGCATGGGATCATGGCACTTCGCATTGGCTCCGACTGATTATTCTGAAACGGCGCTTCTCATAGCCTTTGCCGTTTCAAATACTGGGATATTGAGTACTTTAATTTGCATTAGAGGGAGGGAAAAGGACCGTCAGATGTAGAGAAGACTTTAAAATTGTATTGTAATTGGATGCAATAACATTTAACTTTAGAGTTTTCTTTGTATAGTATTTCGCCCACAGTTTCATTGTAGTACCTCGTGCATATAGTGTGGTGCCTTGCCTTTATTCTAAATATTATTGAACTGATTAATTTTAATGTTGCCTCTGAACTAAAAGGGGTCAACGGAAAAGGAAATTTTAAATGAACGCTATTTTCATTATGTAATTTATTTTGCATCTTCTGCGGTTGGTTAACATTGTTTGGGTTAACTGAGTTTGGTATAATTAAATGAGACATTGTTTCTCCAACCATTGGTGTAAATATTTCGAACACGTAATTTCTTGTGCAATTTAAAGAATAATAGGTGTGAAGCTCACGTCTTACTACGTAGTGCAAGTGTGATGTGCCCTAATTTCTTTTTGATGTAGGTGCGCCGCAAAGTGATAAATATAAATGCACAGACGAGAATATGAGGAAACGAAAATTTTTTACTCTTTTACTTTACACCCTATATAAATAAAGATGGAAATTGGCTTCCCCAGTTTTATACAAATCTCACCATTTCATTAATACTCTGCAAAGAAAATCAAGTAACAGCAAATCTTTTAGCTACAAATCTTGTAACAATAGATTCAAAATAAGAAAATTTTGAAAGTTGCTTTTACACGACACTTACATCCACTGCTGTCTTACATGATTGCTTTATCAGATAATTGATGATGTGAAACTGAACACTGGACACCTAGTCTTAAATGGAAGAAACGGGAACAAAAGTATCATATGTTGATTCATTTTTCTCCGTTTTCTTTGCAAACTGAATGCGCCAAAACGTAATATTACAATATATAATATGTCTGTTTTCTGCATTAACAATTAAAAATGGGCGATCCGGAGTGGCTCGAGGTGGGCGTGGGTGCGTTCGATACCTTGTGCCAGGGCCAACGCCAAAGTGCCCCGCCGCCGCGGGCGACGCGACACGTCGACCTGTGGCCGCGGGAGCGGGGCGCGGAGGGTCGGACGGTGTCCGCCCGGGGCGGATTACTCGCCGGCTGCCGACGTAGGCGTGTCACGCCCCGGCCGCCGCTTAAGCCGCGCTTCCCGAGGCCCTGAGCCCCACCCCGCCCCCACGCACCGTTCCCTGCTGGCTGGCCACGCCTCCACCGAACGCCCGCCCGCTACCATGCCTCCTCCGCTTCCACCGACCCCCGCCACCGCCGCTGCCCGCTTGCCACCTCGCCTCCGCCCCGCAGTCCTCCTCTAACTCATACGCACCGTCCTTACGCCGCGCCTGCCCCCCCCCCCGCCAACGTATTTCTTCTGTTCTACCCTGACCACATTCGCCTCTCCGCCTCGCCTCAACCACGCTCGGCTACCTTGCCTTCCCGTGCTTTTACCGTGTCCCCGTTTCCATCTCGCCTCCGCACCACCTCACCTTCTGGCCCACCGCACCCCACCGCGCCTCTGCGCGCCTAGCCCCGCTCGCCCCGCCAGCACCGCCTCTTGATCCACCCCGCCCAGATTCCCATCACCGCCACCCCCTCATCATCTCTCCACTATAACTGTTTCCCTTTACTTCCACCCCACCCCACCACTCCTTCCCACCCTACTGCCGCTGCCAGTCTCGTTGCCACCGCCACAACTACCGCCGCAGCCACAACCACTGCCCCCGACCCTTCCGCGTTTCTGCAACCGCCATTGCTTTTTCTTTCTGTGCCTCAAACAATTTGTTCCTTTCTCCTGTAAATAATTTGTTCATTACGGCTTTAACTTGAAATCATTACAAAATTTACGTAATTGTGAAACATTCGCAATATTACTATAGCTATTTTTATCTAGAAATACATATCTTATTGTTTGTATTATGTTGTACATTTTACCTCTTTTGAATTTTCAACCAGGTTAATGTTAAGCTGTTTGCTAAATGGTCCCAAAGCCGTTTTCTACTTCCCAGCTGTTTGCCAATTGGAACCAATTGAATTTGAAACTGGACACTCAAGAAATTTGAATGAAAACGTTTGTAATTATTAAATGTCTCTAAAGATTCGCATATTCCTTGAAACATAACTTAAAAATTTCCAGAATTGAGAAAATTTTGGGTTAAAACTCATTCACTTACGTCAAAAATTTTCCATTTACCCCAAAGATATTTCACTGGTTACGATATCGGTGTTTCTGGTACCGAAGTTTCTTGTAGCCGTGTTTGCTCCAGCATTTTTTTTACCTTCTTTCTCGCCCACCCTCCTTAAAAGCGCCCCGAAAGCAGCTAGGCGGAGCTCCGAATCCGCATCCTACTGGCCACGCGCAAAAATTCTCCCGCTCTTTCCTCTCCCAGTGCAACGTAATGGAGGGGAACGAGGTGTAATCCCACAAAAACGAACGGCATTTTTATGGAACGGCGCGGGTTTTAAGTCTTCGCGAGAACGTTTCCTCGTATTCGGAGTCCTCCACTAATGGGATTTACCGCCCGCGAATCTTGCAGAACGACAGTGTACGCTGCCCAAATGTTTTGCTTCCAAACATTTTACTGGCTCAAGATGGATACAGCGCATATCTTTTTTTGTTATTTCAATGTTATTCTACGCGATTAGTCGTAATGAGCCTGACATTTATTTTAGGGCAGAGGCGATAGTACAAGAGCAGTCAGTACATGTAAGGTATATTGTAACCATTTAGAAAATATAACCCATAAAATTAATGTTTAGAAATTCCTTCTGACTAAGATCGATTAAGAACATCTGAGATACGGATGATTCGATTCAACCATACACAGATTGACCAAAATAATTATAATTAAATTTGTTCAATGAATTGGTTGCCCCGACAAAATAATCTTAAGAAGAAAATAAAATAATTTGTAGCATAATGACCTCATTTCAGAGCCGTTACTTAAAATTATCTTTAGTCCGTTGTAATTCATTACAGTTAAAAAGTTTCCACATTATTTTACGATCTATATTCTCTGAGAAAAAGACGCAATGAGTTTTCTGTAATGATTGCAGGCATCTACTACACCATGGCCATCATCGGCCCGGCGGCCGGCTACGTGCTGGGCGGGGAGCTGCTGAAGGTGTACGTCGACTTCGTCACCGTCGACTCGGCCGAGTAAGTCCAGCGCTAATGCAAATTGCACGTATTCCAATGTACTTCAAAGGACCCAAATCATTCGAAGGTGTATCATCTCGAAGATGACTCCCTGCGTTGAAGCGTATGTTGGGATAGTGATGAGTGAACGAGAAACAACAATCTGTTTCGAATCAGGACATTTATAAGATATAAAATCCTTTATCGTATCATTTTAACAATTTTTATAGCTTATTAGGACGATAAAACGGACACTATCTCTTTTTATGAGGGGGTTAATGTAATAAGACCTTGATCTCTTATTCTTCACGTTCTACTAAGTCTTATTAAATAATTGGCGCTTTGGAATAAACAATGGCGAGGCACTCTGTATGACAATTAAGATATTTACTTATCCGTTTCAGCTAAAGGTTGGCAAGCCACTGGCGATGTAGTGTAATACGATTCAGTAATGTATTTAATGTCTTTTAAAGCCATAAATACGCTTATAAAATTAATTCCTTTATTTAGAGAATTCTTTGAGCTTTGAAATGATTTTTCTTTAAATTTACTTGGTTACTGACCAACATCCCGTGCATTTACATGTATGTATATATATATATATATATATATATATATATATTATATCATATATATATATATATGGTTTTTTAAATTATACTGTAAATGTAAATGAATAATCTCAGTCTAACGTGAATATGAAAGTTCTTTAAAAATTGAGTGTGATAATTAGAAAGTCAGAGGTCTGTGAAAAAAGTTCAGATTCACTACTTTCAGGTAATTTGAATGGTGTCTTCTTAAATTTGTACCATCTATACCAGCGAAAGAATCTTGAAGAGATCGCGTGAACTATTTATCCTACTAAAATACCCACTATAATAGTGTTGCTTGACAATGTGTTGTAGAATGATAATAACGAATATCACAAAGAGAAGTGTATGTACTTCGTAAAACCACCACTGCGCTTCTAATTCAAATGAAATAATCAACGAGATTTCATCGTATGAATTAATAATTTTTCCGTCTGGAATACAATCAGCCTATTTTTCTTGCAATATTATTTCTTGGTAGTAGGAAATGGTGAGGAGTTTGTGGCATTAGCATCTCCTAAAAAGTAATTACAAGGCGTAGTTTTGTTGTGTAGTATATTTAATTCAGCATAGTTTTCGGTCGCATTCATGCGATCAGAATCAAAACTAGTGTTTAATGGAAAGTATATTTGGATACCATTTTTTAGCTAATTAGTTTATCGATATTTTATCCTTAGAAATTACTTTTGCTGAGAGTTAACAAAAAGCTTTAGACTTATACTTAGATTTTATAATGAAATCTTCACAAATTATTTTCTTGTACTTTATCTTCGACGTCATTTTGTTTATAACATTGATTTCTGTATTTTTTTCATGTCCATATTACATTTGATAATTTTTTTTACTCTGAGGCGTTTTGGGAAATTGATCTAGTTGATCAACCTCCCATTCCCAAATCGTCCTTTTTGAATCTTGTTTTCTGCCAAAATCATGCGCCATTATACTTCGCGGAATCGTGCCCAATTTTTTCTTGGCGTACTTCCCTATCTGATTTTCACACTGCCTTTCTGGTCTGCACTGAGCTGATCCGTCACAATGTATTCCCAATCTGTCCCTCATCGTCCCCTCCCCTCTCCCTGTCATGCCATTCACTGTCCTGCGCCCCCGTCTTGTCACGCCAGCCTGCATTACATTGTATGTCACTTTCCAATGTAATACATTTTCTAACATTGTCATCCATCAGGGACCCAGGAGGCTTTGAGGAAGGCTAGGAGGAATGGAACGGATATGACCAGAATTTTCACATTTTACACCAGAAACATACAATTAGACAAAATGAGATCCCACAATCTATTTTTCAGAGAATGAGGTGTTTTTTTTAGAAGAGTAAATTGTTACTTAACGAACCTAATATGCCCTGAATAATAATACCTCTAGGATATTGTCGTATTTTCTTGATTAGTTAAAATAAAGGCAATTTTAATGTAATTTTGATTAATTACAAGATATATTATTTGACTTCTGGAAAAGAGGTCAAGAATATCTATATTGTACGATCTCTATTTACTACTAGGGTACATCATGCTATGAAGGGATCTGTTTTCTTATTCCATTCAACCGCGAACTGTCGTCGTACTAATGAACGTCGCGTACCGACTGATGTGGATGAAAGCAACAACATCGTTGCCTCTGATTGATAGGGCAAAGGGTAAATCCCGTTGGCGGTAAAACCAAATAGACAAAAAATATAATGCGTCCCAAAATACCGAGAAAAATCTCAAAGTTGAGATTTAAACAAGGAACTTCATACTCAAATCAAAGTATAGAGTGCTCTACTGCCGTCCACCGGTACCGATTTTTTCCCTTCTTTCTCACTTCAGCATTCACAGCAGTTTTAAACACAACTCTTCCTTGAGAGACAACTTTTTTTTCCAAGAGTCGTTAATAAACCTCAGTTCCGAGTCCATCTTCGTCGCTGGCTCGTCGTTGTGGCTGCCTCATCTGCATACTGCCCGTCGGCCCCCCGTTTTCTTCCGGAGGATTCAATTTGTCGCCGGCACTTGGCGGTTAATGCAATTTGGAGCCGCCGCTTTTCCGCGGAGCCGCCTCTCCTCGTTCCCTCTCCTCGCCGCGCCCCTCGACGGGGCGCTCGCTTCCCCTCGGGGCGACAGGTAACCACCGATTGGCGCAGCGGTAGAGGTGGCTCAGGGGAAAGGCTGATGCCACTGCAGTGCTTCTGAACGGGAGGGTCTACGTTCGAGTCCGGATTTTCGACACTAGCTACAGGGCTAGGTCGAATTCAGTCGCGTCTGGAGGAGAGCTCTAGCGGCCGGCTGCCCTGATCGGTAGTTTTCCGTGGTTTCTCCGATCGATGTCAGGCGAATGCTGGTGCAGTACCTTACCAAACGCGCCACGGTCCACGCGTGGTCTTTCGTTGCTCTCCCTTGTCCTACCATCTCCCACTGACACGTACATGCAATTTACTACCAAATCTGCCGAAAGACCGGCTGGGAGCGTAAGCTTGTACCGTGAGGGCGGTGCTCCGCTGGTGTGAGATACTTGGTTGGGGAAAACCTCGCTAGCCGACTGTAGATTGGCACCAGATCTCACCATCTAGCGTGATCACCGCCCCCTCACGAAGAAAAAAGCATGCACTACACTTACGGGACTAATTACCTTAGAAGTTGACGCGCCCGGAACCATTAATCAATCAGTCATATCATCCCGGTCATCATAAAGCACGAGTGAGCGAAATGATTTTGGAACCCTCCGGCAGAGATGGATCAAGGCAACAACATCCTTGCCACCGCAGCGACTGTGATTGGTGGGTTCGAGTTCAGACGGTGGGAGATTTTCGATGCTAAATAGCTAGATTGAATTCAGTCACTGTCTGGGGGGGATTCTAGGGACCAGCTTCTCTGATCGATAGTTGTACGTGGTTTCTCCGACCAAAACCAGATGTAAATATAAATTTACGACTGTCGATATTTTAAAAACCCATATTTTTTTCTATCCATAGTCCAATCCTTGTTTACCACACATTGCTGGTAACCGTAACGTAATTTGCTTACCCTACCCACGTTTGAAATGGTTACTTTATCCTGCTTAAGTCCAAATAATGCTTTGAAACTTTTTCTACTTCAGGATTCATATATGTAATTTGAACAATGTAAATGTTAACCGATTGATTCGAAAATGATATTTAAATTTTATCCGCAGTATATGGCACTATCATATTAGGTAACTGTCAATTATCTTCATTTGTATTTGTACACAAATTAACATCAGCAAAGATATAAAATTTCCTTCCATTATTTCTCAATTTCTTTTATATGTATTGTTCTTCTCCACAACAGATTACATAAGGCATTACAGACATAGTGTAACGACTTTCTCATAACTGGGGGAAAATGATTTTTAAATCACTCTGAAGTGCGTGTAGCCGAAATTTCATTTTAAAACGCCGAAGGTGCATTTTACTTTTATGTAGTTTATCTAAACGAGATTGGGAGAAGAAAGAGTGACGGAAGGGGAATAATAGAAAGAAAATTTGGAATTTACGACTTGGAATTTCCAAATATGTTTACCTTTCAACGGCAATCTGTACGTCACGTAGTTTGAATCGCTTTTGATACACGACTTCTGCGCTCGAGTTCCTTTTAAAACCCCGGCGACGTCCTGCGGCTCTCGTCCATAAATCTCGGGTTCGCCCAATAGCCCAATAGCTTGTCATATTCCGGGCGCGTCAGGTCTAAAGTTTAAAAGCCTGCGGCCGCCGGGCGGGCCGTCTCCCCCGGCCCGGGGCAATGGCGGAGGCGGCGGCGGAGCTGCTGTTGCCGCTGCTGCGTCCGTCTTTCGACGCGGCTCCACGGGGGAGCCTGGGGAGTCACCAGACGTCACGAGAGGGGATGTTCAGAGGGGGAGTTCCAGCCCCACGCTCCCCCCACTGTGAGCTATCCCCGAACGACGTTGCACCTCACCATGTGCGAAGTTAACAGTTGAGCCAGCATGAAAGGAATTCTCTGATATGACCGCCGTCTTTGTTGCTGTTAGAGTTCACATAAAAATTTCCGCTGAGTAACTTGTCTTCTTCAACATTGGCCACTAACGCCGCCATCAATACCAGTTCTACCGCAGACTCCTACCGCAGACTCCTACCGCAGACTCCTACCGCAGACTCCTACCGCAGACTCCTACGCGCGACTCTAGAGACCCTTCTACGAGACTCTACTGAGACTTACGAGACTCCATACGAGCTCTGCGGCTACTACCGCAGACTTAACCGGATCCTACGAGCCTCCTACAGCAGACTCCTACGCAGACTCCTACAGCAGACTCCTACGCGCAGGACTCCCCCTAGCAGACTCGTACGAAGACAATCCTACGAGACTCTACGCAGACTCCTTACCGCAGACGCCTACCGCAGACGCCTACCGCGTACGTACACAAAAAAATGAAAATATCGTGATGATTGGGTGTCAAACGTTCAAG